AATATCTAATTTCATGTAAATGGAACACAACTACCTTTTGTCAGGTCTTTTTTCCCAGGCCCTTAAAAATAATAATTAATAACAGTAATTAAACAAGAGCAACTTGGACAATCTACTAGCGCAGAACTACAGGTCTATCTCAAATCTTCCCTTCATCAGAGCTGTTTCAATGACTTCACACCTTCCTACTAATTACCAGCTGCTTCAACGTCTTATTGCCAGGATTTCCTGCCCACCATAGTACATAGACTGTCCTTGACAACATATTTAATTACATCAATATAAATGCAGCCTATGGGAGGGCCTGTTATTACTGGACCTTGGTGCATTATTCAACAAACTGATAAATTTTACATAAGCGCCATGAAAACAGTATCATCCTTTCTGATACAGCACTTGAAGGATTAACATTTTACGTTAGACATAATCAAAATCACACATTACATTCCCCAAGAGTTCATCTTAGGGCCTCTCTTACTCAAAAAATACATGCTCCCCAAACTTAATATATGATCTTCATAAATAGATTACAATATCACAAGATGAACATGAAACTAGGGCTAGGTGATATATATCGCATAATGTTCAAATTACCTTAAGAAACAATAGAGCGTATAAAATTGCATTGATATACTCGTTTATACTTTTAGTTTTAAATTTAAAACATTTTATTTTAACCAGCTCAAAGCTTTTCACAAAAAAAAAATCCTGACACACGTCTTTGGGTGTCAGTATAAGACCTTTAAAGGAGAACGCTGTTTTTTTTACATTAGGCCCGTGATTTTACATTATTCTATCATGTTCTACTCACCCATATGAGTTTTGTGTCATTTGGAGCCGTTCTGAAAATATTCCGTTAACGTCTTCCTATGGGCAACGAGTTAAAGGCACAAACTAAACTGTTCATAATTTATTCTTTATGGTACGCCAGCATTCATAACATGTAGGCGAATCACTCTTCCCCCCACACATCTGTGGTTCTATTTTTTATATTTATATATTTTTTAAACAAAGCGAGTGTGTAATACATAATCCGCGTGCCGGACTGGAGTTGTGACAGGCAGCCCGGGCCACAGTCGTCTTCTATTAATTCGGCTAGCTATTCTGAATCGTTCAATTCCATTTGGAGAGCGAGATCATCTGTGGTAGCAGCACTAGACATCTTCCAGGCATGTGAGTAAAACTAGCAGCAGTTCAGCGGACAGGATGAATGAACGGTAGCCGGCGTGCTCCATTCATTCCCCCCATTTTACTAAATAAAATGGGTGAAAAAAGGGCTCTTTTGTGCATAATAAAAAAAGTGCAGAATGAAAAAAGAAATTTACCTCAAATTACAAAAGCAAAAGTAGAATTACTGTCCAAAAATTAGAGCATTATTAGAGCATCTCCAAACTATTTGCATTGATTTTTACTGGAAATTTTGCCGCCGGTCCCTGGCCCCAGGGCTATGGTGGTGAGACTAGTGGGGCCCCCCTCTCCGGTGGGGCTCTCTTGGAACGGGGGTGCCTATTGGACTCAGCAGGGGAGCTGGCTCCCTGAGAGTGCAGTAGGCACCCCAGTCCTTCGCTCCCCATCCCCGAAATCCTCCCTCTGCCTGCTTTATCACACTGCCACACATGTAGGTTTTTGGGGAGGGGGTCATTACTGGAGGGCCCCACCTTCTGATGACGTCCCCCACCTCAATTTAATTTTGCATTTAAGACACTTCCATCTACAACATTTTCA